CAAAAAAAGGGTGTCGTATTATACATGAGATCATTTTGTACATGAATAAATACGGTATGTGCCTGTGAAATGTATAATATGGCCTCTTTTAAATGAATGAAAATAAACTTTTGTTAAAATTATTGGGAAATTGACATAATGAAAAGCTAGTAGCAGTTTGGTTTGAGAGTCCTTCCCCTCATCAGTTCTTACGGACAATGAGTCGTCTCTTCCTCTTCTTCATCCCTTTTTCAATCCTTTCTTTTAACTCAACTCCTTTTAGGTCAGCTCAGCTTCAGCAAAGATATTCCAGAGTCCAATTTGTCCAATTTCAGTTCAGTACTCTTCACATTGTTTCATCCTTCGTCCCTACTTTTTTCCAACCACTTATCGATCTTAGAGGTCTGAGACTGCTGCTTTTGTTGCTGTTTGAACAAGCAATTATTTGACTGTAATTTGAGTTTTCTGAGCGCTGCTAAGTTCCACAGGTCATCAAGCACCGAGCGGTTTCTCTTCTTGTGATCACATTCTGGGTGACGTGTGTCAGTGTTTGCTGTCTGCTGGCCCAGATAGGTCTTTGTTGTGTCTACTTACTGRGCAGGGTATTGTCCCACATTCAACCTGCTCTTTGTTTCCGGAGCGACTGACGRATTAACTAAAACAGGACAGTTAATGGATGTGCATTGGCATGGTGGGTGACTCCAGCCCACAAGTGTCCCAGATACCAGGTGCTGTTCTTCTGAGCCACGTGGAAATAGTCTCATGAATGTTTGATTTGACAAAAGAATCCAGTGAACAATTTACCTTCATCTCTTATAAATAGATATAGTTTTAGGATTATGTTTTTATTATTATTACTTTGACCCTTGCACGCGAAGTGGGGTGTCATATTGTTTTCGTACTTTTTTCCCCAAGATATTTGGTCAATCGTAACATGGAAACAGCTGCACCGATCAATGTGAAATTTGGCAGGAATGTAGATGTGTCCAACCGACACTGAGCCAGCCAACGGTTTTTTGATAGACCCCATATGTGATGAGGGGGCTCCATCTAAATAGGGGGTGTCTGGTCAAAAAAAAAATGCTTGTAACTCAAAAACTATTCAAATGGCTGAGAAGATAGCTATGGCCTGTGTTGGTTTTGTGAACAAGACCGGCTCAGTGTGGTGATCTGGGATTAAATTCTCAGGAATTTCTCCCAGAACTGGAACGCTCAGTTCAAAGTCATGAAAATCGGCGCTGATTAACCATCCTAGAGGCATGTTTTTAGGGATCAGTTTCTCGGATCAGTATCTCTTCTGTGTTTGTGTTGCGCACAGCAAGAGAAGTAGTCCTGGAGTCGAGGTTCACTTGGGTTGTGGCCTCGAGGGAGAGTCCTAGGTTGAAGAACCTGGCAGATGGTTGAAAGAAAGCCTGTTTGTGGCCAATAGCTTGACCAGCTAGGATGTGGATTCGCACCAAAATGTTTGTTGCTTGAGGAGGGACTGTGGTCTGTTGGTTGTTAGAGACTTGGCAGACCTCAGGGATGGTCTGCCCAGCCTTTAGGTTAACTGTGTCTAGCACAGGAAGTTCTTTTGGGGTTGTTGTCAGGGACCACAGTACACTATTGATGGTGTCCACTTGGACACCCAGTCTCACCAAGATGTCAGAACCTATAGACCAAATGTGGAAGGCTTGGGACCATGAGGATCGGATGGACCAGTTCTCGTTGGTTCCAGATCAGTTTCAGGTTAATGACTCCTTTTGCAGTCAGAACCTGTTTGCTGTTAGGGTCTGTTGGGAAGTGAAAAGATTTTTTCACCAGTTGTAGGCCTAAGTGTTTTTCAGCTAATGTTTCATGGAAGACCTGGCTGATTGCAGATTTATCTGTCCAAAGGGATAGGACAGCATCATCAGTGTGAGATCCTCAGATGTGTAGGCATTTCACTACCTATGATAGGTAGGGTTCTGTGTTTGCTGACTGTGTCAGCTCACAGACAAAGATGTCACTGTGGGTCAGAGTCAGGTCCAGCGGTTGAGCTGCTGCTGACTCAGGTGCAGTTG